AATCCTCCGGCTTGGCTAGGAGGCTGTCCTGCTGCCAAAGGCAGTAGCGGTAGTCCACACCCCGGGACACCAGGGTGGGACTCAGTGGAGGCTAGGGGCAACCCGACGGGCAGACGCGCCAAGGCCTAAGAAAGCAGCGGGGGTGCTACGCCACCAAATATTCCTACACATCAGCCCTTCCGCCCCGGGCATGGGACAGATACCTTCTTTGGCCAGCCAGACTACTCCAGTGCAGACGAAGCCTGGGCTGCAAAACGACTAACTGCGGAAAAAGGTGAAGATGGCTGGCTGCGAGACGAAGAACGCCGCCTAATAGTGCCAGAGACTCTGGGACGTCACCTGTTGACGCACCTACACCAGACCACACATTTAAAAAAGAGAAAAATGTTACAACTGTTAAACACCGCCCAGCTTAGGTTCATGTCGCAGGGACGAGTGGCAGACGACATCGTCCGGGACTGCTGAGCCTGCCAAGTCATGCAGCCAGGGAGGGTCAAAGGGACCCATGCAGGTACGAGGGAAAGAGGGAGGCAGCCAGGACTGTTCTGGAAAATAGATTTTACAAAAGTCAAACCTGGAAAGTATGGGTACCGATATCTGCTAGTTATGGTGGATACGTTCTCCGGGTGGGTAGAGGCTTTCCCCACTAAGAAAGAGACTGCTCTGACGGTAGCCAAGAAAATATTGGAGGAAATAGTCCCTAGATATGGACTGCCAGAGGGAATAGGATCAGACAATGGACCTGCTTTTGTCAGCCAAGTCAGTCAGGGACTGGCCCAGGCTCTGGGGACCAATTGGAAGCTACATTGTGCCTATAACCCCCAGAGTTCAGGGCAGGTAGAGAGAATGAACAGAACAATAAAAGAGACCCTGACTAAATTGGCCCTAGAGACTGGTGGGGACTGGGTGACCCTCCTTCCCTTCGCCCTGTTCTGAGCCCAGAACACCCCCTATCATTTAGGCTTAACCCCCTTTAAAATCATGTATGGCACTCCTCCACCCATAGTCCCCAGGGTAAGCCCTGAGGCCCTCCCAAGACACCCCAAAGACGTGTTGCAAGCCGTTCGAGCTCTGCAGCACGTTCACAGCCAAGTATGGCCTGCCCTTCAGGCCATATACCGCGCTGCAGAGCCCGAAGAGAAGAGTGCCGGACATTCACATCATCCTCACCAACCAGGAGACTGGGTGTGGGTGAAGAGGCATAACAGTAAAACCCTAGAGCCTAGGTGGAAGGGGCCCTTTCAAATTATTCTTATTACCCCCACTGCTCTCAAGGTAGACGGCATATCAACTTGGATACACCACTCCCACGTGAGGCCAGCCAACGAGAACGACCTAGAACGGTGCCAGAGCCAGTAGAGAGCGACAGTAGACCCAGAAAACCCACTGAAAGTCAGGCTGACTCAAGTAGCAGCAGCGCCACGAAAAGCCAGCTGAGTCCTATTCCTCTTGGACTACTAGTTATACTGTCTAGACTCAGACTCGGGGCTGTGGCACCTGGAGATTAGACCTCACTACAAAAATGTATGCAGGGTTTGTTTTGTATCTCCTTGAGAGCATTTTGTTAATGAGTGGGGGTGTTGTAAGTGTGATAAACAATTTCAATCCCCACAAACCCCATAACCTGACATGAAAAATTGTCAATCAAGAAACCCACGAGGTCTAGAACGTGACCTCTGGGGTGGCCCCCTTAAACAGTTGGTGGCCGGACTTATATTTTAACTTAGAAAAAGTTAACCCCCTAGAAAAGCCAGCACAGACAATAGCGATATCCTCAGGAGGCCCTGGTGTTGCCCCAATCCCCAGTTCTTGGGTAACTGGACCATGGAGGGAAGATATAGAACGAACCTCCATGAGCCGGAATGGGTTCTATGCCTGTCCGGGATTCCGGCCCCCTCAGGAAAACCGTCAGTGTGGGGGTATTAGAAGTTATTATTGTGCCAAATGGTGGTGTGTGACCACCAATGATGGGGAATAGAAATGGCAGGCACAACCTCTTCTCATTAGCATGTCCTATGTCCAACCTTGTACTAAAAACAGGTATGCCAGAGACTGCAACCTAATAAGAGTAAAATTTACAGAAAAAAGAAAAAAAGATAGGCGGTAGATAACAAGACTCTCATAAAAAATATGCCTCTACCAAAGACCGCACGTTTGCTCACTAATATATATCAAACTTAAAATTACCCCGCTCCCAACAGCAGTAGGACCCAACCAGGTACTACATCCATGGCCAGCTACTGCCAGGCCCAGCCCGGCAGCACCCCAGACCACCTCCAGCAAAGGGACTCTCCACAAACTAATGGCTAGCACAAGTAGTCCCCGAGGCCCATCGCCCGATAGAGAGCTCACAAATCCCTTATAGAAAATGCTGACAGCAGCATATAATGCACTGAACCGCACAAGTCCCAATGCCACACAGGCCTGTTGGTTGTGCTATGACATAAGGCCCCCCTTTTATAAGGCGGTAGGGCTGGCCACTTATTTTAACCTGTCTTCAGAAGACTCCCCTAAAACGTGCCAGTGGGATCGTAAGGGCCCCGGACTCACCCTCCAGTCAGTTCTTGGCAAAGTTACCTGTTTAGGAACAGTGCCTCCCAGCCATGCACAACTCTGTGCCAAGGGTAACAGGACGCTAAGCCTATCTAAGAAAACAAAGTGGGTTATCCCCGGGCCAAGTGGGTGGTAGGTTTGCTCCAAGACCGGTCTGACTCCTTGCCTTAGTATGTCTATTTTCAATGAGTCTGAAGATTACTGTATAATGGTATTAGTGTTCCCCAAAATAATATACCACACTAAAAAGACAATGTACGAGGGTGTAATAGGGCAAAGAGCTGCTAACCTAATTTTCCGTAAAAAAAGAGAGCCCATTACTGCCATCACTCTGGCTACCCTATTTGGTCTAGGGGCAATAAGGGCGGGAACTGGTATCTCCTCCCTAGCCATGCAGCATAGGGGACTTAACTCCCTCAGGGCGGCTATCGATAAAAATATCGCCAAAATTAAAGAGTCCATCTCCCACTTAAAAAAGTCTTTAACCTCCCTCTCAGAAGTAGTTTTGCAAAACCAGAGAGGGTTAGACTTAGTGTTCCTGCAACAGGGAGGGCTATGTGCGGCCCTCCGGGAAAAATGCTGTTTCTATGCCGACCACACAAGAGTGGTAAGAGAGTCCATGGCCAAAGTAAGAGAAGGGCTTGCTCGGTGCAAACGAGAGTACGAAAAACAAACAGGTTGGTTTGAGTCCTGGTTCAATAGTTCCCCCTGGCTGACTACCCTGATTTCCGCGCTTGTAAGACCACTGGTGATCTTACTCTTAGCCCTGACATTTGGGCCCTGCATAGTAAACAAACTCATAAAATTTATAAGAGACAGGGTCAGTGCTGTTCAGCTTCTGGTGCTGCAACAGCAATATCAAAGACTCGGGACAAATAATGCAGACCCAGAACTTATAAATTACCAGGGAAGACGAGCAAGAGTGCTCGTCAGCTATGTAAAGGAAAGGGGGAAATGTGGGGGCGCCTCGATGGCCCTTCGGCAGCGTCTCAGTGGCACAACAAGAAAAGATTTCCCCCCTTCGTGTGAAGTAGGGTGAGGCAATTAGCGAACAGCACACATCTGTTTATACTCATACCTCGGGTATCTCTTGGGTTGTGAAGAAAGGCAAAAGGGAGTGGGATGCCAGGGATCGCGCAGAATTCAAAGAAATTAATCACTTCAAAGGTCAGTCATGGCCAGCGCGTAATTAGTTTGTGCCTTGCTAAGGCCCTTTGGGGGGGATAAAAGGCACCCCGCAATTCAGGTCGGGGTCCTTGCCCAAGGAGAGCGACCACTGCGTTGGGGCTCGAAGGCTCGGACCCTGGCTAGCGCAGAAATAAAACTCCTCTTGAGTGATTGCATCCTTGGTGTCTTTGTTCGTCTGCCTGGCGGGGTGCAGGAAGCCGGTCCCTAACATTCTCACTCGGGATCACACCAGCCCTATGAGGGAGGAATTAACCCATTTCCTAGATGAACAAAGAAAGGCTCAGAGAAGTTAAGTGACTGGCTCATCATCCCACAGCTCATTCCTCCTCCATACCAAACTGGCTAACCTGGAGAAGACTTCCAGACTCCCTGGCTCCATAGCAGGAAGTGCTCACCCCCCGCGTCCTGCCCCAGGCTGGAAGGAGGGGGGGGAAGGACCTGGGGCCTCAGCTGGGCCCTGCTCCTCAGGGCGTGCTCCCCGCTCCTCCTGCACTGATGGGCCGTGTGTGCTGAGGCAACCAGGCAGAGAGAGAGGGCGAGGCCATGGCACTAGCTTAGTGCTTGGATTCAGGGCCTCTCTGCAGGTCCAGTTTCTCTGGCTTTTGGTCCTGCCTGACTGTGGGCCCATCTTCACTGCCACCGTCTTGCACAAACCCCATGCAGGCAGCGAGGACTCTGCAATGGCCCCCAGCGTGTCCGCCATCCGCTCCTTCCTGTCTTCCCAACCCCCCTCCACGGCAGCTCAGGGAGCATTCAAGAAAGTTCCATCAGAGTCAGTCTTTCCCCTACTTAAACCCACCAGGGCTCCTGTTAACATTCAAAGAAAACCCAAATCCATTTCTGGCAGTACTGGTCAGTGATGGAGCCGGGTCACGGGAAGGGAGTCCGGTCACAGCAGTCTTGGCTCTGGGGCTTCCGGAACCCAACAGAAGCGCTGGAGGCTTGTGGCTGCCACCCATGCAGGGCGGTCTGGAGGGCCGCCGGAGGAGGGTACGTTCTCCTGTCCCCCACCCCGTGGCAGGGACTGTCGGCTCTGCTGTGCAGCGGGGAGCCTGGCCAGGGAGCCTCTCACCCTGCGCCCACTGGGGCCTGCCGGCAGAAGCGTCCACGGCCCCAACCTGTGGGCCACGGACGCGTCTTTCCATAGCACCGATGGCACCGCTGGGTGAAACGCCACCCACAGCAACAATGGTGGACAGCCACTTACTTATTTTCAATTAAAAAGAACTTGCCAGAAGCTGAGACTCTCAGTTCCATGAGGACCCCAAGTGCCTGACCTGGAAGCGAAGTCCCGGTCCTGCCCTGCCCTGGAAGCCACGTGCAGGCAGCTTCCCGGGAGGGGGCGAGGCCGAGATCCTCAGAGGCCCAGAGGGCAGGCGGGGCCTGCAGTGGCTCCCGGGACAGACAGCGAGCTCAGGGCCTCTGGGAGCCCCGCAGGGGGCTCAGGTCGCAGAGCCCCACTCCCAGGGTGCCGCCTGGGTGCTGACGCCCTCCTCTGCCAGTGCCGCCCCCCTGCGCCTGTGCTCCATGGAGCTGGAGGGGCACCGCACCGCCAGCGCTAGCGTTGTTCGGGAACAATTGCATATTGGCTCTCGTCCGTGAGTCTCCCTGCAGGTTGCTGAGACCACTGGAGGTTCTCTGACCGTGAACCCAGCTCAGGCTGGACACACGGAGCTGACCGAGGCCTGGACACAGGCTTTCTGCCCATCACACTGCTGTGTGCCCTTGGGAGAGCCGCCAGGCCACTCTGGGCGCCCCCTGGCAAAGCCCTGACTGGATCCCCACTTGGAGCCAGGCCCATGTTAGATTCAGAGGAGAGACAGCCAAGCAGCATGGTCCCTGCTTTTGGGGACTAGAGCAGAGATGTCATAGCATTCGGGGAGGGGGGAGTTGGGGAGGGTTACTTTGACTGTGGACATAGTGACTCACCCACTGCAAAAGCTGCCCCATAGCTGCCCCTCGGCTGTCCCCTGGCCTGGGGTACATGCTCTGGGGACAATGTTCACCCTCAGGCAGCCTCTGCAGCCCAGACCTGGGCAAGAGGGACGGGGACCTGCTGCAAATGGCCAGGTCATCTGGGCGGAGAACTCTGGGGTCCCACAGTGTGGCCCGCCCCTTCCCTTTGTGGCTGCAGAATCTGCACCCCGGGCAGAGCACCCTGGAAGAGCCCTGGTGTGTGGCGGGGTGGTGGAGGTGGGGGGCGTCCTCTAAAACACAGGGACTGTGGTTACCTGTTTAAGTGTGGATCTGCCCTAAATATGTGTCACCTGCCTTCCCCGACCCCTGCCATAGCTCCAGGACCCAAACGAGCCCAGTCGGTGGATGCCCCCTTGCCAGAGCTGTCCACCCTTCACCCCCTCCTTCATCCCTCACCTTCCAGCCCCTCCTTCAGCACCGTCTCCCCCCTGCCCCCGCTGTCTGCCGGGCTCTGCTCAAGGGGCGCGCGGCTGATGGAACCTGATGGAATCCTATAAAAATGCGTTTCATTGCACGTCAACCCTCATCTCGCACTGCCGGCTCCCTGAGCATTTTATAGCAGGGGAGACGGGAAAGAAAAAAGAAAGAAAAACACTTGAGCTTCTTGAGATAAATAGGGAGTGCTGGTGAGGCTGGAGTGTCGCAAACACTTCCTGTCTGCTGCCAACGCCGTGCTGCTGCCTGATAAGCTTCCCTTAGCTCCTGGAAGCATCTCGGTGAAGGGAGGGCTCCGCGCTGCCCTCCAGCCTGCGGCTGCAAGGCTCAGGGCCAGGAGCCTCTTCCCTCCCCGGGCCCTGGTGCCAACCGGCCCCATAGCACCCGTCAGGGGCTGCGCGCACCGCCCCAGCACCAGACCCGCTGATTGTGCACTCACTCTCATGGTGGACAAGTGAGGGTTCCCACGATGCCCGCAGCACCCAGCGTGGTCCCCCTGCCACCAGCCCCCCACTTCCTCGCCCCGAGAGCCTCTCTACCAGCATGGCGCAGGGGCACCAGGCTCCAGCCAGTGGCAGGCGAACGGCATCG